CTATAGCCCCTAAAGTCCTTGCATCCTCATAGGATTATCTTGGAAAAGTTTTTTTCTAAAATGTTGATACCTTTGGATCAGGGACAGAATTAGTGAATGAGAGTGGAGTGCAAAGGATGGAGATTAGTGGGACAGTGAGAAGGGAAAGAAAAGGAGTCAAAATGAGAAGAAGTGGCAGAGTTAAAAGGAAACACATGGTGCCAACAAAAGGAAATGAAGGCAGAGAGGGAAAGAAAAGGCTAAGAGACTAGTTTCATCACCACTGCAGTGAGTAAGGGAGTCAAGTCACACTGTGATGTGGATTAACACAGAAGCCTTATTAAACTCTCCCCTTTGTTAGACTTCACCTTTATACAGTGCAATTAATTTCTGTACCAAAGTTGAAGCACAGGTTTGATTTCTGGCAATATCTGACCTAAATGGACAGTATGATAAGCAAGGGATAATTGTTGCACCAGCAATTACCCCAAGAATCTTGCAAAGTTCCCTGATGATTCTTCTTAAATAAAAAACATGAAGGATGACTGGTGAATTAGAACTGGCATTTGTACATAAATCTATTACGTTTGTCTCCATGATTATTAGAATGTATGATACCCATAGAAACATGGGACCAAATCAAACCCAGATCCATCTAGTCTGGAATACTCTAGTCATGGCCAATACCTGATTCTTTTGTATATCTGCAAAATTCTACTCACCCACTCACCCAAGGATAACTTTTTTTCTGATAGCATTAGCTTTTTCATCAACATCAATCATCATGACAAAGGGTAGGTGAGTAGATTTTTGTGGCTGGGCTGGTAAATTTTCAGGGCAATTCTGTCAGGTTGTTTTAGAGGAAGGGAAAAAGCTAAAATAAACAAACAAAACCATAAAGTAAACCATAAAGTACCTGGCCAGCTGTGCAAAATATACGTTTGGCTTGTCATACATTTTTTCTGATGGCCACAGGTTATCAATTTATGCCCTGAAGCATGAGATTTGATTATTATCTAAGCTTTACACTCATCCAAGTAAAATTTCCATTTGCCATCATGCTGTCAGATATCCCAAGTGTTTAAATCTAGCAGGAGTTTCTCACATTCCTCGATGGCTTTTTCCTAATTGATTTTTTGCATAATGTGCAAATTAAATCAATTCATTGTTCATTTTCCTTTCAAAATCATTAGTGGTTATATTAAACTTGCCCCTGGGGCACCTCACTACTGACTGCTCTTCAGCCCAAGAGCAGCTGTTTACTATAGCTTTAGTTCCTAGTGCTTAAGCACTATTTTTAAGCTACAAGATATTCTTCATTACCTCATGGCTATTTATTTTCCTTAATAGTCTCTTATAAGAGACCTTGTGGAAAGCTTTTTGAAAATCTACATAAACTCTATTTGCTAGATCAGAAGTGAATTTTCAGGAGAAATTTGACAGAAAAGAGAAGAGGAAGATTGCTGAGGAGAACAGGATAGTATGTATTTTTATTCGCTTTTAAAGAGTTCTATCAGATCTCATAGTAGTTTGATCAGATGAGGTTATACTCAGGGGTGAAAGTGAGCCAGTACGGGCTGGTACTGCATACCGGTAAGAACCCGCACCGGCCCATACCCAGCCCACATTAAAGTGTTGCCGTGGCAGTGTTGCCACGGGGGAGGGGGAGAGGGAAGGGACAGCAACGTTAAAGCGCGGCCGCGGCAAAGGACCCTGCAGTGCTTTAACGTTCCTGCCCCTTTTGGCCCCCCGGCCGCCGACGGGCAGGGGGCAAAGGGAGCAGCTGCCCTGGGGCCGGCGATTTAAAAGGGCCTGGGTCTCCAAATGCTGCTGCTGCTGCTATGGCAGCAACCGCATCCGGAGCCCTGGGCCCTTTAAATCAACACAAGAGCCCTGAATGGCGCGGGCCAGCCGGACTGGAAGGGCTGGCTGGGGGATGCTGACCCCCCCAGCCCCGCCCCTTCCAACCATGGCCCCGCCCCGCCCCGTACCGGTAAGTGGCCTCAGTTACTTTCACCCCTGGTTATACTTGTCCAAATATTGCACTGCACTTTCCTTAACTCTCCCCCAGTCTCCTTAAAAAGGAGGTGAGGTTCACACAGCACGTCTTTTAGCTCTTTTCAAATAAACGGAATAGGCATATTACAGATCCACTCCAACTCTCAGTGAAGTCCATGTGGGTCTTTCCATTGATGTTCATGGCAGCTGGATCGGGCTCCATGTTAGGAAATATTTAATACTGAGAACAGCAATTGTTTTCAAATACATACTAAATCCCCTCCTCCATATCTCCACAGCATTGTGCCTTAGTTCCTTCAGTGTTCTTGGCTGAATACCATCAAAAGCCTGGTGATTCAGCAAAGCACTTCAAGCATCTGATTAGTCCCATTGAAGTCCATGAGGCTACTTTGATGCTTGAAGTTAGACACACTGTCAAGTGCTTTAAGAGATCAGGGCTTTAGGGCCCAATCCAAAATCCCAGGAAAGGCAACAGGAGCCTTTCCCATTGGTCTTTGGACCAATCCCTTATTGGTTTGTAATTTTTCAACTTTCTTCCACACCTTCCTCCTTAAAGAGACTTGAGTCTCCATGAAGCCACACTTTGGATTCCCATGAAACGTGACCATGGAACAGGAATTTCCCCATTGCCCTCTACACTATAGGAATGATGCAAGCAAAGTAATTTAAATGATTTGCTGCTGCGCCAGCCTCTTTATTTGCATGGCTTAATTTTACAGAAGGAGATCCTAGTGCCTCCACCTGCTTTCATTTGCCACGTCTGCATCCTCAATTCTGCCTGCATTGCTGGGGTCTCCCATTATGTCTTTCATGTCTGGGCCGGATAATCATGTACATATCATCCCAGATTATAACATTAAAAAGAGGCTACTCAAATATTCCTGCCATCCTTTTAAGCATAATTATAAATAAAAAACTGAATGAGCATATCACATTTCCCAGTTGAGCAGAGTCCTCGCTGCTCTGGGAATCTCAGCTCCTCTCAAACCCAAGTGTCTGGCACAGCAGTGCTGTGTGCTGCTGCTCTCATATCCCAAGAATGGGTCTGACAGGCTTCTACAATATTAGTTCCCCACAGATGTATATAAAGGGTTTCACTCTATGGAGAATTCCTGTAGAATTTAATAGAGGATGTTTAACTTTCTGCTGAACTTTAAACTAAGCAATGGAATTCCTTCATAGGGATGTAATTCTCTAATAAATTCTATAGGCTTTTAAATGAAATGTCTATAGAAACCTGTTTAGTTTCAATCCTATTAAATTCTATAGGACCTTTCCGTAAAGGGAACTCACAGAATAGGGATTTGCTCTGTTTGTTTATTTACAGGGGTGGGGCCAGGGAGTGAAAGAATCTGTCCTCAAAACTAGCCAGACCCATGGAATTGTGCAGACATTGAATTCAACCTCACCTGGTAAATCATCTTCATCTTCACTGAAAACATTGGGGTTGAAAACAGGCAGGTTAATATAGTCCATGGAAATCTTACGCACTTCAGGGAGATAAATAGTCATCTGCCTGGGCTGGAGATGCAGCAAACTGGTTTTATAAATCACTTGGAAGGGGGGGAAAAAAGAGGAAAAATACTTATTAGGTAGAGAGGCTAAGAGAAGATTCAGAGTTCAACAGAACAGAGAACCAAGAAAAATCAATTCAAAGCAGAGAGTAGGGCTGGAATTGATTTTATGTAGTTTGGTTAACAAACAAATATATGTACTTGTGTTTAACTAAACAATCATGAAATACATTACAGTAGCAGGACTTCAGAGGTGGTTCCTTACTGCATGGAAGTTTTCTGGGATTGTTTTTTTAGTTACTCGTCCTTAACTAGAAGCAGCATCACTTTAGTTACCCATTCTATAGGAGCTACACAAATACTGAATTTCTACATGTCAGTACAACAGGCCATTGGAGCCAGTTAAAATTTTTCACTGGATCAAGGGGAGAAGGAAAAGGGTTATCATCACCTCCTAAAGGATTTTTTGTCCTGTTTCCCCCTAAATCTCACTATGTAAAAATGTGAGGGTCAATCCTTGCAAATATGGGGTTGTAAAAATATTGTTATATAAGCTTTTGGGGGGGCATGGTGCTGTATATAAACAATAATAATAATAAATAATAAAATGGAGGGAACATCCCATACAGTTACGAAACACCGCTCCTTAGTCAGTAGGAGGGACCATCGCTGACAGACAAACACTGCTCCTATCCCAAGCAAAGGAACTCAGGAAGCTTGTTTAACATAGCCCAGTGACGAGCATGGCATCAATACCTAGGAATTTGATCCTGCATCCTTTGACATTAATGGCAACACTCAGTGGGTGCAGGACTGAGACCTAGTTGAATTAGATAGGTATTATTTTGTAATTTCATTAATTCTTCCATGACAAGAGATGAAGCCCTGTCTGCAATGTAAAGCTGCCCTCCTCTGGCATAATCTCCTAACACTCTTGCCCTCCCCAGGAGGTTAATCCCCTCAGGCGAACACTTTCTCCACTGGTACAGGGTGGTGCAATTTGCACCTCTCTTGTGCCAGCAGGAGAGTCAAGCCCTGCATTAAATAGTAGTACTGTAGTTACTTTAAGACTCCAGTTCAGGGTGGCGGGGCTTTAAATAAAGATACTTCTTCAAATAAATTTGAAAGCTAACAGCAATAATATCCACTTTAGGGTTAAATATTCACATTGTTCAGGCTTTCAACAAGAGATTCAATGAAAACTCCAGAGATTAGTGACATCCCATTAAAAAGCTACTCTGTATAAATCTTTCATAAGTAACAAAGATGGGGCCAAACCCAAACAGCCATTGGGAAATTTTGATCTGGATCCAGTTCAGAGCATTGTTGCCTGGTCCCATCTCTACTAAATAAGAATATACAATTAAAAAAGGGGGTTTTCAAAAGAGTTTTTAGAAATTCCTATAACTGCTTCAGTATCTTCACCAACACTCCAATTTTGCCACCCTTAATCATGCTGAATGGGACCTTATTCTGCTCCCACTGACATCAAAGGGACTGCACTTGGAGATAAGGCCTACCCAACATAAGGGTAGGAGAAAGGGCCCTAAGTGTATAAGGCTGCTTTCAGTGAGGGCGACCATTTTGCTGCTGTCTGTCTAAGCAAGAGAGCTGTGTGACCATGCAAATACTTGACTTCCCCCATTAAAAGCTCTGGAAAAGTTGCTGTAAGGTAAGATCTTTTAAAAGTTATTTTGATATGTATAATAGTTGTTAGAACCGTTGTAAAAAATAATACATTTTTTTTTAAATTATAGCACTTACCTTACAATAACTTAGAAGCTCCCTGATTTCTGAAGTTTTCTAACTGGAAAGATTATTCTTTCAATCCTAGTTCAAATAACTGAACTGTCAAAATGGTAGGTTCTGGTTTGATTCTTAATGGATCTTTTTTTGACTGAGTTGTTGTTGGATTTAGAGATTTAAATGGCAATTGCACTGAAATTTCCCTGGGACCGAGATTAACAGCATTACTGAAGCAGGCTCTTCATCATTTTAAAGAAAATCGTACGGAGCGTTTGTTATTTGTTAGCAAGAGCTCAACATTGGAAAAATCAAGACGGGTCAGTTTTACCTGCACCAAGGTTAGTTGGTAGGAAAGCAGCCAAACCCACAATTTTAAATTTGGTTCCCCAGATATTAGATGTGACCTGAGCAAGGTAGTTGTGCTGCAAAGGGAGAAAAAAAAAAAGGTTTAAAGTTTTTTTGGCTCCTACAAAATCAGCAAAAGTAAATATTTGTTTTCAAAAAATAATATAGCACTGCTTTGTAGAAACTCTAATGATGAAATATCTCCACGTAACTCACTTATACATATTACTGTCTGCTCTCTTGTGATCCTTACAAAAATATTCGGAGCACTAAAGCTATTTCAAATACAAGACAATTTCATCTCATTCTCTTTTATGCAGTGGCCTAATGTCTCTAACCATCCACTAAGTACACCCCTTCATTCAGGACTGTATTTTGCTACTGTCCCATTTTGCTATCTGGCCACCATCAGAGTAGCTCGCATGAATCAGATATATGGCAACCACACAAACAACTTGGTGGAAGACCTGGCAGCAGGGATAACTGGAGAGCACTGCAGCTGGCCAGTAAGATCGTTGCTTCTCCCACACAATAGCATAGTGTATCATTTGTATATCTTTGCAGTAAACAATCACAAGATAGCATATAATTTTCTCATTGGATTTTATGTTTAATAACCACTTAATGAAGAATAAATACAATAGAAAGGAATTATTAACAAGCATTTATACAGCATATTTTTCCAGAGATCCCAAAGCACTGTACCACAGTGAGTACATTATTATATTATCATTTTAATTGATGGGTAAGTGTCATGGCTTCTGGACTTCTGCCCTATTTTCTATTGCTGATATATAAGTGATCCAGAACATTTCACAAGCCAAGGGTTACCATTTGCGTATTTTAAATACAGAAAGTATATAAAGAAATACAAAAAGATCAATTTAGTGCTAGTGAAATGGGTGAGATAGGCAGTCCTGGGGCATGAAGTGTTCCATTTACCCATGGACTGTGCACAGTACAAACAGCAGAAGTGCTAGCCTCCCCAACATGGTGTTCCCACCATCACCTGGCAGAACCAGTTGTGGGGGACAGGATGGTTCTGTCCCCTGACCCATTAAATTCCTTTGTCTCTGTAGACCGACAACAAAGCTGGTGACTATAGTGGTATTATGATACCAACACCTAGCCACAAAGAACTGAATAAGGACTAGAAAATAATTCTACATAGGGCATTCGACAGCCAAGAACATAGCAACTGGAATTTAAGTCTGTTATATAAAGATTCCTAAGATAAATGGTTGCCTTTTAAAAAGTCAGAGTGAAATCAATGGAGCGAGCACCCTCATCATTTACCAGCTCTTACCACATAATGCTACCTGAGATTCTACCGAAGTCTCCTATTATAAATACAGAGACATAACTAGCATCTCAGATACCACTGCGTAGTAACTCCATTAAATGACAGATTTTCAGTGGTCACCACTGGATATATATTATAAATTGTTGTTTCTGGAAAGAGAAGATATATTTAGGTACAGGTCTGGTAATTATGCAGTCATGCAATACCTGAGTGATATCTTCCAATGGGAACTCTCGTCGAGTTAGGCTTGGTGAACCAATAGAAGGTTTCCTTATTGGTAACCTTGGAGATCTTGATATCTCCTGAGCAGCTCGCGACAACTTTGGAGATTTGCGGGCATCTATATTAATTCTTCACGTAAAGCAATAATTAGAGTTATCAGGCACACACAGATGGACATACTTAACATTTCTGGATACACTAAGTACAGTGAAGAAAACTGGCATATTCTCTTTAGGTGATGTAAGCTACAGAAGAAAGTGGTAGGATTACCTAAAGTCTGCTTAGTCTAATGGATAGAATCTTAAATTTTATGGGCCAAATTCAAAGGTAATACGTAAAGAGATATAAATCAGATTCCCTTACTCTAACTTAGACTCAGATTCCCTTAGGTCTGATTAGTGATGCAAAAGGGAGGTTAAGATGACGCAACTTATAAACTCCACATAAAGGCGTAAGAATATGTTATTAGATTGCACTGACTTTAGACAGTGTCCATGAGAACATAAAGAGGATACTTTGGTTACTGGACACCTGTACCACTAGTTCAAACTAAGGTTTCACAAACTTGGTCAGTACTCCTCTGAGCATAAAAAAAATTACTTACACCTCCCTCACGTATGTAAACATTGTAAATGAGGTTCCAGAGTGAGAGTCTGAGGGGGTGAAAAGGGCCATCAGTAGAGAAAATAATGAAACAAATGTAACACAATGCATGCAAGTAGACCCTGGATACGCAGGTAGCCTTACTGATATCAACAGGGCTCCCGGATTCTCCCTGTGCACATGGCACTCAGGACCAGGGCCCAGGTTTACAGAGTCAGGCCCTGTTTAATGGTGAAATGCAAAACAAAAAGAACGATACAGAATTATATTATGTGCATGTATGTGTACTAAGATATCACGTAACACAGAGCTGGGAAAGAAATATTTTCTTTGGGTAGAACGCCCCTTCATTCTGGCTAGTGGGGGCAACGTTTGTAGAGCACCTATCATACTGGAGCTCTCATTCACGATGGGCCCATAGGTGCTACTCCAATACAAATAATAATAATAACGTTGAACTTGATGTAATTTTCTCTACTTTTTTTCTGTCCGTTCTGCTAAGCCTGTATGGACATTATTGCTGAATGAATTATCAACAAGTGGCAGCTGCTTAGAAAACACATGATGAAACACTCACAATTTTTCCTCCAGTCACTGGGACAAGGCAATTCAGTCAACAGACCTTTCTACATTTAGCGCTTTCATCACAGATCCAAAATACTTTCTATTAAGCAGATACAGATCCCCCTTCTACTCCCCTTACAGATTCCATCTACATATTGAGTGTGCATCTGGGTGTGCATCTGTGTGTGTTGGGGAGCGAACAGAACAGGCTAAAGAATGAACTTGAGAAGCTACAGACTATTCCTTTGCTATCTTGAACACAGAGTGTGCCTTAGACTATTTTTTCTGATCTGATTAGCTATTTGTGAGAGGCAGACCAAAGCAGTGGAGTTTGCCTATTATTATTATTACAGCTAACCACAGAGAAGGTCTGAGTTCTTCTTTCTCAGAGAGAGAGAAAAAAAGAGCTCCTGAAAAGCTGTAATTTCCACAGGCAAATTCTTTCTTATGAAAGGCATTAGAACATCCCCCTTTGCCTTAATTTAGGTTGTCATGACAAGATTAAAAAAACAAAACAAAAAAAATCATACCCACAGAAAAGAAGAAGAAAAAATGCCCAAGAAATCATTACCTGGGGAGTTTGGGTGATTTGCTAGCTCGAGTGATTTTGGGAGATTTCTTTGCAGCCCAGTCATCACTCAGTTCGATATCACTGGAGTCTGAGCAGTTGCAGCTGTCAATCACAGTAGAAATCAAGCTGTTTCCATAGATTTCATCTACCAAGACAGGCCCCAAAAAATTTAAGAACTGTTTTAGAAACCTGATCCCAATTACAACTGTCAGTCATCGGGGGGAAAAAAACAGTAGCTAAGATAAAAGTCTAGCAGGGTGTGTTTGCTGCCAAGTATAAACTCAAAATTTCTGATAGCCTAAATTCAGGGGAATAGTGTTCAATTGTATCAGGTGACTCACAGACAGAGACTGAAAAATATTTATTGTTAATTAATGATCCACTCCTCACCAACCAGTGTGCAAGAGGTCACATTTTATAAACCAAAAGCCAACATGAAATGAGTTTGGTGGCTTGATTCTAGCCCACAGTGGAGACATCTTCACATGACAAAAAACAGCAGTGCAACTGCTTCATGCTATACTAGTTATGTGGACAAAGAGGACTTAAATCTCTGACTTTCAGCCTAAACCCTTTTGCAATCAGCATTTTTACAAATATGAACAATCCACTTATAAAAATATGATACCTGCTTTTCCATCGGTTTTAGGGTCCATGATGACAAATTCTGGCCGCAGTTTGCTGATTCGGCGCCCTTTTAGGATAGGCACCAGTCCCCCTAGGTATTCCAAATACAGCGTGTAGCATGGACCTCCAACCTCTGGATCATCTTCTGTCCGCTTCATCGTGCAGTGAAGCCTTTCATTGCCAGTTGTTGGGTAGCTGACAAAATCTCTCATATTGTTGGGGTCTGGGATAGGAGGCTAAATTGAATGGAGGGAAAGAGAAACACATGTCATTCTTATTCTCTGGGGTTAGGTAGTTATATAATACTAACCCTACCCAGTGAATATGGCCTGTGATAGCTCAGAATTAGCATAGATTAATGTCTGGCCTATTGAATCACCCACCACCAGGACGCACGTGCCTGTTGATTCGATCGATAATTGTACTCAGAATAGAAAAAAGTTAGCTACAGTTTAAGAGGAAGGATTGTCTCGTGATTAAGACGACATTGAACTGGGATCCAGGAAATCTGAGTTCAATTCCCAGCTCTTCCAAGACACTTATGTGACCTTAGGCAAGTGATTTAGGCCATTTGCTTAGGAGCTCTGTTAAACTTTGGCCTCAGTCTTTCTGCAGATCAGTTTTCCATTTGTAATATGAGACTAATAATCCTTCCTTTGTCTGGCTTGTATATTTAGGTTGTAAACTCTTT